TTTGTATTTAGTTGTCCCCCAAAGCCTTATGTAGTCACGGGGCATACTTCTAGAGTTTATGATTAATTCATGATCTAATGCTGGGGGCCAGCCAGATAGCCCAGCAGATTAAAGTGCTTGCTTAGGCAGATTCAGGGACCAGGGTTCGATCCCCAGTGTGCTGTGCCAGCCCCACCCCCGGGGCATGCTGACACAGCAATCTAGACTGGGCATGGTGGCATGCATCTGTAATCCAAGCTCTTAGGAAGCTGAAAACAGGAAAATTACTACGAGTCTGATCTGTGTAGCGAGACCTTGTAGACCCTGTACTAAATTAAAAAAAAAAAAATTTTTTTTTAAATCCAATGCTGGGATTATGGATGTGAGGGTGTGACTGTTACACCCAGCCTGGGGCAGATATACTGGATGCGAGAGGAAGAGAGAGAGGCTTGCCCTCTGCTGTCTCTGCCACTGCTCCTCCTTTTTTTTTTTTGCCATAATTTTATTGATAAACAAACAGCAATGAGACAGTTTCAAATCAAATCGGTAGGACAGTTTCAATAATTAACACACTGCATACATTCTTCTTAGTGGTTAATTGCTGTACAAGATGTGGACATGATATGCTATTTACAAACACCATTAAAACAAATCATTCTATTCATTAACAGAATGTAACTATATATCTATCTTAACCACTTTGAATACACAGATACAAAATGGACATTCATCTGTATACCCTTTTTTTGTTAAGTTCCATCACTTAAATATTATAGGTGTGTAAACTCAGCAAAATATTCTAAAAGAGTGCAGTATCCCATAATAGTATTGGGTCTTCCGCTTGACTGGCAATGTCAGAAATTGTTGACCTGAGTCCCCCACAGCTCAACATAACAGCATGGCTTTATTTCTTATATTTTGTTTTTATACTTTTCTTCTGGATGGTTAAAACCAAGGTAAAGCAGGACCTATGCAACAAGAGTAGTAGCTTTTGGGTCTGAGAAGGTCAGTGAAATCCCCTCAGGATTTATCCTGAGATCCTGGACCTCAGATTGTAGAACCTTTGTCAGTGTAGCCATGTGGATGAGTCACGACCATTGCTTGGCCAATGTGCTCTGTGAAAGCCTGAGAGAATGTTTTCTCTCCATGTGACTCTCCTTAGGCACACTCTACGTCATCGATCACTTTCCTCTTTGGCCCCATAATCTCCTTGATCAGAAAATTTGGGACACTACTGAGTTACATGACGTTACAGTACAAGTTCTCATATGTCCTGAGTCTTAATTGACCTTAGAAGGCTAGGGCCAAAATGTTGGCTTTCCTTGCAGCCCTCCTTTTTCTCTAATTTTGGTCTGCAAACTTAGGTTGTTAACCATCCAGAAGACAAGCCTGTTGTTATTATTGAACAAGTTAGGCTGTTAAGCTTAACCTCACCATCTGTCTGCATATGAAACATCTTAGGCATAATATGGAACAGGTATTTTTCATCAAGTATTGATATGATGAACTTTAAGTCCCTACAGAATATGATAAGAAACATTTAAAAATTAGAATATATTTTAAAAATAGGCATAAAGAATTATATACTTCTCATGTTTGCACGTAAGTCCAAAAATCTCACCATATACAACGTTGAAGCAGGACAGTCCCACAATATTTCTTTTCCTGTCTCTTGCTTTCCCTCACCACCCCGTTCTTCTTGAACCATTGCTCCTCCTTTTTTGCACTTGCTGTTTTGCTGTTTTCTGCCACCATAATCTGCTGCTCTCTGCCATGTGCCACTCTGCCTTGGAGCCAGCTCAGTATGGACTGAAACCTCCACGAACTGTGACCTGATAAACGTTTCCTTCCTTAATTTTGGGTGTTGGGTATTTTGTCCCAGCAATGAGAGAAAAGTAACTGAGACACTTATAAACACAGAGAGGATGGAAATAGCAGGTAAATAAAGGAAAATAAAAAACCATTTGTTGGCACTTTCAATCATCTTCGCATTGTGAAACTCACTTTAGCACAATTCACTTCAGCAACTCTTGCATACTTCCATCAAGTGGATATTTTTTCTTTAGCTAAACTTAAGAGTGTTTTTTACTCCAATTAGAGGTTTTCCAAGTACATAGTTACCATTAACAATATTACCAAGATCAAACACCATCTATCTACTGTGCATATAGGCATCTTTACAGCTTTTACACCAAGACAAAGCAGTTCAATCCTCACCAAAACCAAAATCACAAAAAATGCCAGTTTCATGATCAATTTTACTTTCTTATTGTTCTTAGAAGTCATTAAATCAAATGTGCAATTTTTATCAAATTTACTATTTTTAAAAAATCTTTTAAAAACTCATCTTCCTAGTGAACATCTGGGATAGGATGGTTTGCCCATGTAGTAGACCGATGAAGCTCAAAATGGGTTTTCTAAGTATAAGATCCTTCCACTTTACCACAGAAGATGGTCAAGAACAGCTAGCCTTCCTCCTTCCTCTAGATCTGGCCGTGGACCAAGCCCACAACCCTAGCAACTGTCCCATAGATGTGTTTTTAATCACAGATAGGTGGTCAATCTACAACCTTTATTACTTGAAAAGCAAAACAAGAAGCAGATCCCACCAACAGTGGGGACACTGGTTCTATATTCTGAACAGAGTCTATACTCAGACACAGTGACTACGGATACAGGCTCCTCATTTCTCTCAGTTGCACAATTTTCAGGCATCATCAGTGTATTCAGTGTGGTTGAACTGCTCAGGGACACAAAGGGGGACCAATAATTTTGGTGTAGTAGAAAGTACATATCTGATACCCTGGCAAAGCCCTGAATTCTTGGGCTCAAATTTTAGTCCCATTACTGCATTTCGTTCTTCATAAACCTAAGTTTTTTCAATGGAAAAAAAGGAAATAATAACACCACCCCTCAGAGTTAGGCTAAGAAAAATATCCAAAAAAGCAGGCTCAATCATGACTGTCTACTTTCCACTGACCTCTCTGCTCAGAACATGTTTTTTGCCCGTTCTCTGCACTCTGGGGTAAAAATCTACTTACAAGTACCTTAAAAAGCCTAGCCTGCTACAACTCAAGCATGACCCTACTGTTTCACTTGGTTCTCCTGGTGTAGCCACAGACAGCAGCATGGCATCACCTGTGTGTGGAAGGCCAACCTTCCAGCCACCTGGAACCCACTGCATCAGAATTTACAGGGGCTCAATGGCTGGTTTATATTCTCAAGTCTGAGATACACTGTTCCGTGACACATAAAACACTCAATGGTCAGAGCCAATTGATCCTCTTTTTTTTTTTTTTTTAAAAAGTAGGAAACTTTGTTGGAGAACAGGAATGAGGAATAAGAATAGGAAATAGGAAGAGTTTTTGAGAGACAGACAGGGTCCTGAGCAGGTTGATGCCAACTGACCCTCTTAACAAGGATTAACTACAACACTTCTACTGTTGGTGTTGCTCTGTATGTAAATCTCTACTCAGCCAGAAAGCAACTGTCAGGCATGGCATTTCAACTGAAGTACAGGATGACTGCAAACTTCCTTGTACTATTTGAATTTTAAAAACAACAAATGCACTAAGTATACTGGCTTCAAAGCAATACTTAAATCTTCTAGATTAATGCAGTCTGTGTTATATATAGTAGGTACTTTAATTATTGAAGTAATATGCATGTTCTGATTACATGTAAACATGCAAGTTTGCATGGCTATTTTCAATGTAGTGATTTCTGGCTTCTAGGATGCAACTCTTACCAGGCTAGTAAGATTGGTTAGTAAGACCTGGCAAAACGGAATGCTTTCTACAGAGATGATGAGGTTCTACAGTATATTCTGTTTCTCAGGTCACTGTGATTCTCTGCATGTGACTTTCTCCCTTGAATCAACTTTCTGAAAACACTTCTGAAGTCTTTTTCCTAGGTATTCATGAATTAATACCTTAAGGGCCTTGAAAGTAAAATTTACTACCCAGATTCCTAAAATGAATCACTACAGCTGGATGAGGGGCACTGGTAACTGTGCATCAGGAAACAAAAGCTAGTCTGAGTGAGTCATCACTGTGATCAAAGATAACCAGCCACAGCCAGGGCTTGGCACAAATAAACGGCCACAGCAATCATATATCAGAATCTGTGTTTAATGGTTTCTCACATTAAAATGCATAAGTCAGCTCTGTGAAACCAGGAAGTAGAACCCAGAGCACCACACAAATAATAAACACAAGCTCTTGAATTTGGTATCCTTAGTCTTTTGCTGCAAGTCTAGCCCAGCTTGGGGGAGAAAGATTAAAACAGAGGTGCTGTTTTGTCAAAAGGTAAGCAGGTTTAATATGACGGGCTTCTGAAATGTTTCTAAGAAAATCTGAATACTTTTTGGAGGCCTACTTATTAAAGCCTTTGACCAACAAAAGAAAGGTAGTCAGAAGGCCACAGATACTTTAAAAATGTAACAGGGTCTATAAATAGGGTAAGAGGCTTTAGAAGCAAGAAGGCCTGGCCTTGTTGTGTTCCACATACAATCTGGACTCTTTGCTTTTTCGAGAACTCCATACTTGAAAGAGAAGACGACTGGGAACTTGGGCCACACAGCACTGCCATCAACACACCACCCCCGCACACCTCAGCAGACTGCTCCAGAGTGCAGACCAAGGTCTTGATGTCCTTGTGAACTGTTGGCAAGGGCATGTATGCCAGGACCAACCCTGTTCCATGCTGGCCAGGCAACAGAAGGATAATGCAGACATATTTTTCAAAAGGAGTTGTCTCCTATCAGCACCATACGCCCACTAGCAGGCACATATCCAGGGAAAACATTACCTACACAGTAAGTTCTAATAAGCTCCTGCACTCACAACATGATCACCTTCTTCTGAAACACTGGAGGCCATTTAGGAACAACGGCAAAAGGCTTCATGAGCCTGCCTTCACGTGACCCCCTTCCCACAGTATTTAAAAACTAATCTATTATAATTTTGGAAATAAGAACAAGATGAAATATTCCTGTCAATCCCCATGTAGCTTAACACTACCTCATAATGAAGGGAACAAAAGGTGCCATGCTCAGAGCAGAAGAGGCGCCATCCATCGGGGAAGGGTAGAGTCTCTCCAAGACCAGAAGCAAGAGGAACATGCTTGGATGACGATCTGGTTCTCCCATAGCACTGAAAAAAGTTATGGTACATGAAAGATTTAAGATTTCAGAAATGAGGCACTGTCTTTAAACACCTTTCCTCATTAAATAACTAGATATATGAAGTGAGACTCCAAGTGACCAAAGGGATAGCTTTTCTTTTTCATTTTTTTCTCCATTCAGTTTGTCTTCTTAGTGTGCACTACGAGGAAAAATTCCTGGCAAAACTCAGGATCATGCTTTTGCACACACAAAGCTCTTCTCTTCTCAAAGCTAACCATTTCCTTAAGCAGAGCCTGCTGTTCCAGACTATGAAATGGGAAACTTTCAATGTCCAAATGTATTTAAGGAAGCATGAACAAGCCATCAATTGGCAGGACCAAAAAACCTCATGTGCACAAACTACTAATGCAAGGAAATATATCATAAATAAAACTAAAATTCACTGATATAATTTTATTTTCTCATTACAGATCACTTATATACATTTACACCAAGTGCAAAAAAAGGTAGAAAGGATACAAAAGTTCTAAGCTGTCCATACTGAAAATTTCACTACCATGTATAGCTCAAAAGGGAACAGTACATGTGAACAAAAAGGCAGTGACGAACTTCTCTCTGCATGGTGCAACTAGAAGCCCTTGTAATGACTGTATTTCCAAGGCCACTGGCTATTTTTGCTCAGGTAGACTATGACGATATGATCACAGGAAACTAGATTAGTCAGGTAACTATGGTACTCTCACACTGATAAGCCCCAACAGTTCAGTAATAAAAACTGACAGGTATTCATTGAACAAACTCTATTTCTAAGCATACACTTTTAAAAAATAGCAGGAAGAAAGTAATTCTTAACAGACAAAAGCATCGCATACTTGTAATAAGCTAGTTCCATGTAACACTGAAAATGGAATTAAATTAGATAAAATTTAATATAAAACAGTATTTTCAAAAATCTAACAAAGAAACGGGATTTTACATAATTTCTCAGGTACAAATCTATGATAGAAAGTCAAGCAAGATGGTATAATTATTATATACTTTTTTTTTTTTTTTTTTGGTGGAACCAGGGATTGAACTCAGGCCCTACTGAGCCATTTCCCTGGCCCCGATGGTATAATTATTAAAGTATTATTTTTTCAAAGCCATCTGCATTGTAAGGAAGAAGCTAATTAAAAACTGTTGCCTAGAAGAAAAATCTTGACTAAGAAAGTACTTCACACTCTACCAGGGACTACCTTGGGACCTTGAGCTTACCAGGCAGGTGCTTATGCCGCTGAGCTATATCCCCAGCCCTAAGTACCTCACACTCTTGACTTCCCTTTGCCCCACTCTATTCTTTTCTTACCTGTCTACTGTATCAGCTACAGCTTCCAACTGTTTGAGAAGAAAAGGATAGAGTTCCGGGAATCTTGAGAAAAACTCTCTGCCTGTCATTCTGTGGAAGAAGAAAATGATAAATTACTATCATTTATTTTTTCTGATCTGTTAACAAAGCCCTCCCTCCTTTTCTCCCTAAGGAATATAACTAAAGTTATTTGTCTGAATATTTAATAAAATAAAGATGTTTTTACAACCTTATAATGTCTTAAATTTAATATTCAACAACTGTGATAAGAATAATTTTGATTTTGGAAGTGTTCTTGACACATTAATTTTTGTCTCCAATTTTAAGGAATACATGTTTATAAGTATTTGACATAAACTGTCAGGGAAGAAATATGCAACGTGTAAAAAAGCCAAGTTTGTACAATCAATTCAGACTATCAGTATAGTCAACACCCAATTGAGACTGACTCAGCTTCAGTGATAAGGGCACATTTAGACAAGGTTTCCTAATTCTGGCACCAAGACAGTTTGAATCAAATAATTCTTTGTTCAGACGGGAGGTGGGGGTGCTCTCCTGTGCTTTGTAGGATGCTTAGCTGCTTCTACCCAACAGACACCAGTAACACAATATCCCTACCTTCTATCACGATCATCAGAATATCTACAGACCCTGCTGCTCTGCTGGTAAGACAAAATGATCCACTGCTCTGATGTGTGGTAACCCAAAGCACAGAACTGGCCTGTGAGGTTCTGGAGGTCCAAATGTATGTAGCCAATACCTATAAGGATTACCTTTTCCAGATTTATAAAAACTACTCGCGAACTCTGCCAAAATCCTAAAAACAGATCCTTAAGACTACACAACTGAAAAAGAGCTCAAGCTAAATTTAGCACTTAGGAAAGTAGTCTGTCGTAATTATTAAAGACCTACTCTGAAGGAGCAGTATAACGATTCCTTAACCTGACCACTTTTATCAACTCTAGATATATACATCTACTAATGAAGACCTGAAATATCAATTTATTTTAATGTGAAGCATATTTTGCACACAGAAAATGCTCATATCTTAAATGCACCACACAATCTACACATACATACACTTGTGTAATACACACCCTTAGCAAGACTCAGACTACTTCCCATCATGAAGCTCCTCATGCCCTTTCCCAGCCGATCCCTGCCCCAAAGCAACCAATGATTTGATTTCTAATCACCACAGTTTGGTTTTATTTATTCTAGAATTTCATGAAAACATATTAATATGTTATATAATTCCTGTGTCTGCCTTTTTCACTCAGCATAAAGTTATGAGATTTATCCATATTATTTAAAGTATCAATAGTTGGCTTCTTTTTCTATAATGTTGTATGTTGTATGAATATACAACACTGTACAAGGGCCTGAGTTCAATCCCTGGTTCTGAAAGAAAAAAAAAAAAATGCTTGTTCTCCTGCTGCCAGACACGGGCACTTCTCATTTCTAGATTATTCAGAATACAACTACTATGAACAATCTCACACTTTATTTTGTTTGTGTGCAGACATGTTTTCATCTCTTTGGGGTTAATATCTGAGAATAAAACTGCAATATATTTAATATGTTAAGAAACTGATAGTTTGCAAAACAGTCACACCATTTTACACCCCCAACAGCAGCAAGTGAGAGTGCTGGTGACTCTCTATCCTTCCCATTGCTTGCTGACGTGTCTCCCCTTCCCATCTCAGCTATCCTCGAGTGCATGACATGACTGCTCTCTGTGACTCGGACTCGCACTTCCTTGATGACCAGTGGTGGTGAACACTTTTTATCTGCTTTGGTTATAAGTATGGCTTCTTGGAAAATTCCTATTTACAACTTTTTCCCACTTTTAAATAAACTGTTTACTTTCCTTTGTCATGTACAGTCATATATATGCAGTGCATATACTTGTGGGTTTTTTATTAAGACGGGCAACAGAATCTTGCTATGTAGTTCATACCTGGCTTAAACTTCTTTTCTTTTTTTAAATGTATTTAGTACAGGGTCTATAGGGTCTCACTATGTAGATCGGACTCATAGTGATCCTCCTGCTTTTAGCCTCCCAAACACTGGGATTACAGGCATGCACCACCACACCCAGTCTCAGTCCCTGTCTCAGCATGTCCCAGGGACAGGCTGGCACAGCACACCAGGGATCAAATCCCTGGTTCCTGCACCTGCCTAAGCAGGCACTTTAGTTTGTTGAGCTATCTGGCTAGCCCTAAACTTATTTACTTAATAATGTCTTTGATGAGCTGAAGTTTTAAGTTTAGGTCCTCTCTAAGACATCTCTGCCTACTTCAAAGTACAAAGATTTTCTATGTTTTCCTCTAAATGTTTTATGTTTGGAGTCTATGAACGATCTCAAATTTTGTGAATTGGATGAGACAGAGGTCAAGGTTCTTTTCTTTCTGCAGTGGTCTATTTCATTTTTAATAAAATGTTCCCTAAATCTATGTTCATGGATTATAAGATCTGATATTATAAAATGTCTCTCACATTAATTGTAAATGTACTGCAATTTTAATAAAAACAGTACATGTGAGTGTGTATATTGGTCTGAAAGGAGATTCAGAAATGCATGCACATACACCGAGGGCTAAGAGTAAGAGCTGCAAAGATAAGAACAAGACTAGAGGACTCAATCAGCTAAAGTATCAGAAAATTATAGTGGTTAGGATACTATGGGGACAAGAAAGCCTGTAAAAGAGGGGTGAGAGCACAAACACAAATATGACAACTGAGAGCTGAGATGGGAGATCACAGAGAAAGATGATGACCTGTTATATGCAGATAAAATCCAAACTGGACTCCATTGCCCCACTATATATAAAAATAAATGCCACTAACTTCACTTTAAAATTCACTTCAAAACAGCTACAAGAAAAATACAAAATAATAAATGCACAGAGTTTTTGACCTATTTTGAAAATTTGGAATTCTGTCCTACCATTCCTGACATAAGGCTTCTCTTTTCTCCCAGTGACAACGCAGGCAGCCTATCTGACATCCTCCATGCATACCCTAGCTAAAGGGTGCCTAGGAAACTCAATGCTGCTCAGCCACCAGAACCCTCCTGTAGAACTGACATGTCCTAAGTCATAAGATAATGACCACTTGTTTGATTCTTCCTCAGGTGGCCCATATGGGACAAGACTGTCTTGTCTCTCTTGTATTTCACCCTTCAGACAAAAGGCCTGGCTGAAGTGAAAGAACAGTGGGGAGAGGGGTGAAACTCCAACTTCTGAGATGAAGACCGCTGACTGTGTGCAGAAGGATGGAGAACAATCTTGACACCTGGAGAGGTGCACCTTAGATCCTGAGGACAAGGAAAGGAGGAGTGATAATGATCTCTATTGTGCTACTACAGCCCTTCTCACCAAACAAAGCTTTCTCCTACAGCTCTTCCAGTTGCAACCACATTAAATTTTATTAACTGCTGGTACTGTCATGCTCCATCACACAACTCATTCTAAGTCCAATTTGACTGCTTTTCCCCCTAACCTTACTGAGAAGTCTATCAGTAATGACCTTGGTTCTAACTCCTAATCATTCCATGCAAAATACCTGTTAAACCATCTGGCTATCTTCTTGATTTCTGTAGCCTCAAACATGGCATAAGGCAACCAAATGACTTTTGGTGGTGTGGGCAGAAAAAGATAGGTTGCGATGACTATTCATAAGCAGTTATCTCTAAACCCAAAGGCTATAATCAACCATCACTATTTTCTTGCTTGGTGGCTACTCTGCAAGGCAGGTAAAGCAAATATAGGATGTAAGGCAGGTAAGCAAATATAGGGTGCTTGGGCCTTTTTAAAACAAATTTATTTAGTACAGTGTCTACAGGGTCTCACTACATGGATCTAACTTGCAGTGATCCTCCTGTTTTCAGCCTCCCAAGCGCTGGGATTATAGACATGTGCCACCACGCCAAGTCTCAACTGCCATCTCAGCCCACCCCGGGGGCGGGGCCAGCACCGGGATCAAACCCCTGCAGCTAAGTCTGCATAAGCAAGTGTGCAGGTGCTTTAAGCCGCTGAGCTAAGTGGCTGGTCCTGGGGCTGGCACTTTTTGATGTCTAGTTTTCAAGGCTAGTTCTTTTCCAGCTAGGCCTTATTTTGGGAGGAACACAATATGAACTTGAAGATTCATCAGCTGGTTTTAGGCTATATGTGAGGCAATGACCACATATGCTCTTGGATTAAGGTGAATTCTCAAAATTATAAATTATTGCTTTCTTTACAGGGACACCATATATGCCCTTCAAGCTGCACTTCTCTCCCTCAAACACAGTGACTCCAAGTGCCTACGAAAATCTACCAGATCATGCACTCCTCCAATGACTATGAAGAGCTCTCCAAAAGGAGATCATGCATGGTTGTTCACATAAGTTTCCTACGATAACAAGTGCCTAAATGTTTGCATGCCTGGTAGCAAGTAAACCTACCAAGTCTCCTATTAGCAAACACAGTATAAAATTTGTCAAATGATTTTAACTGAAGTAGGCACTAATAGCACATCAGCCCTGAAGGTCCCTCAAATCTCCTTCAAATCACAGGACAGCATTGTTTTCATGAAAAACTGCCCTCAACTTCCAATTTATAGATTAAGACAAAGTCTAGAACATTGTGTAGTGGCCCACACTTGCAATTTCCACTACTTAGAAGGTTTAGGCAGGATCACAAGTTCCCGGTCAGCTCTGGCAATATACTAAGATCCTGTCTCAAAATAAAAAGGGCTGAGGATGTAGTACAGTGGCAGTGTCTGTCTGGCATGTGGGAGGGCCCTAGACAGATCCCAGTATACCATCTTACACACAAGACCCACCACATGACAAGGCCTGCAATTGCTAATACGTTCACAGGTACATGAATTAATGGTTTGGGCTAAGTATAAAGGCAAACAGAAAATTCAAGAGGAAGCTATAGACCCTGCGGTTTATGAGACCTGTGCAACTGCCTGGATGTGAGACACCGAGGGACAGGGTTGCTATTACATTGCAAGATGCACTCATCTTGCTGCTTGGAGTCTTACTGACAGTAAATTAAATGTTTTGTGAGACAAGCTGAGTAAGATTTAGTACAAACGTA